AAAATAATCTCGACCCCTATTGAAACTATTTAAATGTTCAACTTGTAGGAGTAATTTTTTTTTAAGTGTATTACTTGCTATGTAAAAAGTTTCTTTTATTTGTCCTAAAGTTACCCCTTATTTGAGGGACCCGAGAGCTTGCCTTTTTTACTTTCAAGCATCGCTCTCCTCTGGCTGTGTCTTGGAGTGGCTGCGTCGCTCCTGATGCCCTTCCCGGGATCCCTGCCCCGGGTGGGGCCACCATCACTGGCTGTAGACCACTTCTGTTTGCCCTGGACCACACGTCCCTTCCAATGGGTGCCACCAGCACTGCTCAGTTCTTGGCAGAGAAGGGCAACTGCTTCCCTCTAAAGTGCCTTCCCTTTATTCTCCGTCCTTCCGCCCAAAGCTCTATGGGGAACAGATGTTTCCGAACAGCTGGGGTTACCCATAGAATTATAATGTGGTAGGGGGAATATCCAACAATGCAGAATGGGACTGTGCTCTCACAGTCTGAAAGAAAAGGGCCCCCAGGTTGGACCTCTCACAGGGAGCCCAGTTGAGGACGCTCCCCAATTCTCAGTCCTCCGATGGGTCCTCCTTTCAGAGAATGCCTCCTTCTTTGTATAACCACGGTGAAATTCTAGCTCCCCTTTAGGGTGACTATCACGTTCCCACAAACTGATCTCTCCCTTGGATTCATCGCTCCCCCTCATCAGGGCAATGTGAGGACCTGGGTAACCACAGCAATGCTCTGCTTGAAATCTGGCTTATTCAACCTAGAATTGCACAGTAGGGGTGGGAGGCGGAGGCTTCAGAGCTGGGACACTCCAGGTCCCGTCCTGACGGGTCAAGGGCAGGTGTCTCCTCTTTCCTCCCGATTACCCAGATGACAATGAATGGTGCTTTCTCTCTCTCTCTCTCTCTCTCTCTCTCACACACACACACACGTTTCCACATTTCCCAAGAACCAACAGCATGTTCTCCAGCCATATTAAGCAAGAAATACTATTTTCTCAGTGGATGCTGATTCCTGCCCTCAACGAGTTTGATGCTTTATTATTATGCAGAGCTGTGCCCTCAGATTTTTTCGTCCTCCAGCCCCTACATCTTGCCCAGAGACAAGAAATGGGGCCATTTAAGCTACCTTTTTTTTTTTTTAAAGATTTTATTTATTTATTTGAGACAGAGAGAATGAGAGAGAGAGAGAGCACATGAGAGGGGGGAGGGTCAGAGGGAGAAGCAGACTCCCTGCCGAGCAGGAAGCCCGATGCGGGACTCGATCCCGGGACTCCAGGATCATGACCTGAGCCGAAGGCAGTCGCTTAACCAACTGAGCCACCCAGGCGCCCCTAAGCTACCTTTTAAAGCACAAATTCACATGGCTCTGAATGGCCCGCTCTCTGGCCACAGCACAGTCCAGCTCCCAAGACCTAGAGCCGCCACGCAGACCAATCTCACGTAGGCAGGTCATCTCCACACCTTCATCTGTAAGAGGCAGGGAGACAGTCTAAGAGTTAATTACTTTTCTGAGCAGCCCTGCCAGGGGTTGTGCTGTGGGTTACTTAGGGTTTGAGGATTTGGAAATGATGGCTAGTCCTCATTTATTTTAAACTATATTATTCACAATTTTCATTGGCTTTGATTCTAGACTGAATAATGATTTTTTTAAAGATTTTATTTATTTATTTGACAGAGAGAGAGCACAAGCCAGGGGAGAGGCAGAGGGAGAAGCAGGCTCCCTGCTGAGCAGGGAGCCCGATATGGGACTTGATCCCAGGACCCTGAAATCATGACGCTTAACCAACTGATCCACCCAGGCGTTCCTGAATAATGATTTTTAAAAAACGTTTTCTATCAAAAGGTAGCACCCCCTTCCCTCCCTCTTTATCCCCCCACCCAGGTCCATCGCAGGTCCTTGCTCCCTGATGTCCACTTGCAGCTCAGGCCTGCAGCCAGGATGTCACCACTCTGGGCCACTGCTTGAGGTCATCATTTCCAGATGTTTACTACCTTCAACTTTGTCTTATTTCTCAGGCTCTAAGGGTTGACCCCCTAATTTAAATTTCCCAAGAATTTGAAAAATTAGTCCATGTCCATCATAACTGAAGTTCTTCCAGTTTTAAATTTTGAAATCATATCTCCTTTTACCCTTTGACTGCATTTCGAAGGTACTGAATCTGTCATGCACATAGTAAGTGCTTAATTAATATTTTGTTTTTTGGGGATGCCTGGGTGGCTCAGTTGGTTGAGTGTTTGCCTTGGACTTGAGTCATGATCCCAGGATCCTGGGACTGAGCCCCTCATCGGGCTCCCTGCTCAGCGGGGAGCCTGCTTCTCCCTCTGCCTCTGCCTGTCGCTCCCCCTGCTTGTGCTCTCTCTCTGACAAATAAATACATAAAATTTAAAAAAATATTTTGTTTTATTAATCCAGTGGTTCTGAATAACAAAATTATTCATTCATTGAAACTCCCATTTATAATTTTATTAAATGCCTCTGAGGTATGAGGAGATGGGTACAGATGTGCATGCAAAAGATCCAATTCCAAATAGATAATTCCTCCAGGTATAATGCATGGGAAGTATACTAACGGCCATGGGACGTTCAAACCACCTGAGCCGGAGAACTCAACCTGGTTACAGGGTGTGTGACCTTGGGTAGGTTATTCCAGCTCTCCAAGCTGCACTTTCATTGTTGATAAAAAAAAAAAAAAAAACCAACAAGGACAGTAATAGTATCTCTCTTGTGTTGTTGTTTGAGGATTAAATGAGATAAATGCCCGCAGCCCTGGGCCATGGGAAGAGCTTAGTCCATATAAGCTGTTATTGCACTGCTAGATCCTAGAGTGGAACGATTCAGACGTGGAATATGTGAGTGCTTTTCCCGTGTAGACAGAGGAACTTCTCTCTCAGAATCAACTTAGGTCCATTTAAAAAATGCAGGTGCCTGGCTCCTAGGGCAGACTTACTGAATCATGCTTTCTGACAGCGAGGCTCGGGCGTCCGGATTTCCTGCAGCTTCCCTGCTGTATGCTGATGAGAGGCCCTCCGGCTTGTCCCAGTGCCATGGGCAGATGTTCTCTCTGGGGCTGTAGGGCTCCCGAGCTGCTCTGTGTGAGATGCAGCGCTTGAGACACCGGGTGCGCAGTGTTCCTTCACTTCCTCGTGTGCCGGGCCCAATATCTGTCGGCCCCAATATCTGGAAAGATCTTAAAACATCGTGAGCTCTGTTAGCCCATGTGTCACATTCTTTTTTTGAATCTTTTTCCAAACTAGATTTAGGCAAACACTAAGGGACATACGAAGCAAGAACAAGAGGCGAGGAGCAAGGGCTCTGTTAGAGTGCAAGAGATCTGATTAGGAAGGCAGAGGATAGAAATGGAGAATGAAAAAAAAAAAAGAAAGAAAGAAGAATGGCAACAGGAAAAGGATATTTTTGTGTCAACCCCTGGTCATCTCTGGGTTATCTGCTCTTTGCCCCGTAGGGACAGCTGGGGTGGGGTGGGGTGCATGGCATGCAGGGGCTTCCGTCTGGCCGAACAGGTATTTGTCGGCGAGAGGTCAGTTTCAATTTAGTTGGAAACTATTAAAAATTTAGTTTTATCGGCATCTCAGAAAGGCAGTGATTGTTCTATTTCCCTGGCATCGCTAACCCATGAAGCAGGTTGCAACTTGTTCTGTTTACCCGAGCCTTAGTGGAGTCCCCAGGGAGGTGACAATTAGGCATGTCATTTTGAAAGCCTATCTGCTTCCTGATAGAACAAGGCCCACTGAGGTGGGTGGTTTGTCAGCTTCTCTCCCTCGGTCCCCAGAGTGGGGACCTCAGCTCTTGTGCTTGGCACCTTCATATCTGTGGACAATCGGCCCTTCTGGGGAGCTCTGACTAGCTGTGTGGGGGACACACCCGTATTTGTAGGAGGAAGTCGGAGTTTAATGGGGGATGATTTCACAGGTTCCAGAGCAGTCTTCCACAGATGATGGCCCAAACTTTTCACCACCAGGGAGTGAGTACAAAGCACAGCTCTGGTGTTCTTCAGACCCAAGCCTGGGTACTTACTGATTGGGTAACATCGGGCAGGTGACTTGACTTCTCTGAGTCTCAGACTCCTGATTTTGTCATCAACATTGTTGTGGACATTGAGTGAGAGGAGAGAGGGGTGAGAAAAGCCGAAGGCAATTCTGGCACACGGGGAGGGCTCGGAAAATGGTAGCCGTGGCCAGGACCAATGGTACCGATATTACCATTGTGCAGAACCTTGGGACATGGAAAATGCCCCCCGGACTGCGGGACTCAGTGCAGGGATTAGGTCCTGTGTTTTAATGCCCTCGGCAAACAGGGTTGGACAGTATAGTTGGGCACAGGCAGCTTAAGTTAACTCCTCTTCCCCTGAAGGATGGCTGGGCTTGTTCAAATAGATTAATCGGAGGCAGTAAACTCTGAAATTCAGTCATAAACAACATGGTCAATTGTCTCAACCAATCTGTAAAAAATGAGTGATGCAAATGCATGTGTAAGGACTGCCCGCAGAAATTCGGAAATCTAAGGTAACAACGAATTCCAAAACTTCTGGTCCACCAACAGCATGGGGGCTCGCAAGAGAAAAAAAGATCAAGTATTTGCCCAGAAGGTTTACAAAACACCACTTCGGACATGAAAAAGAATGATCCATGGGTTAATATTGCTGTAGGCAAGATGTGCCTTTTGGTCATACTAACGTTTCGTTGACTGTTAGATATGAGAAGCTAATGACTCATAAATGTCTTTCTCTGAGGTGCCTCCAAGATGTACACCCTCATCTGGAGGTGAGGCTGCCCCTCCTTTTCAGCCATCAGAGCTGTGTCTACCCTCCATCCCTGTGGGAGCCAAGGCATCTTGCCAAATTAAAATAATTTAAAATTCATGGATAAATGAGATTAAACTGTTGAAAAGTAATTGGTGATCTCCAGAATTAATTGGTGTTATTCAAAGCAACCGGAAACTATCATCAGAAAATTAAAAAAAAAATAAGCCAACGTTTAATAATACAAAATTTATTAGTTAAAAAAATTAGAATTTGTTCGTTACATAGAAAAGTAAAACAACTGAACATCCCCTACGACAGTTTTAACTGGGAGCATACAAAGTAGGAGTGGCACAATGACCAGGTCTGAGGACTTCATATTAATGCCTAAGCGAGCATCAGAACATCGGAAATTCGACACAGGAACCGGGCTTTGTGATGTTTTGTTAACAGGCTGCATATTTCGAGTTGTCATTTGGTGTGGCCGAAAGACAGAGATATTCACGCCATGTTCCAAATTAATGTAATTGCCATTAACTATAGCAGATGTCCCAGTCTGTTCCCCTCTTATAGAACTCGCTGGCCGTGGCGGCTGAGGGGGCGAAGTTCACATAGTCTGTGCCGGGGTAGGAGAAATACTCCGCTGCTCTGAGGGTGTCCAGGTGCTCTTCCTCACACGACGCACAGTAGCAGACTGAGGTGCTGGCTGAGGAGAAGCAGTCGTACTGGGTGTACGAGGGCAAGTGCGAGTAGGAGCAGTCTTCTGAGGGGTAGCCACAGTTTCTGGTGTCCAGAGAAGGGGGAGAATTGTAATTCTCCAGAGCACACGAAGGTAGCTGAGCCAGCGAGTAACTGTAGTCTAAGGAACCCGACAGAGTGGAGGAATCCGAAGGCGATCCTGGGGTCTAGAGAAAACCGAGGAACAAAGAGCTTGATCATTTAGACAGGATTAAAAAAGCTGAGTAGAGAGGATTTATTAACTCAGAGTAAGAACATTAGGGGGGGGAAATACAACACAACAAAACACCCAGCCCAACTCAGGTCTGCAGAAGTAATTTTATTAGCTGATTGCATGATTTCAGGACACCTTATTCTATATTTGCCTTTTTCTTCCCCAACAATAAATCGCCTTGCTTCACTGGCTTCCTTTGTTATAACCATATTTTAGAGGATGCTTTGTTCTTAAACCACAAAATCCCATTGTTCTTCAAGTCACCTGCACGTCAGATCTTGCTGTGGTCACAACATGAGCCGCAGGTGGCACCGTGGATGTTCCTCCACACCTTGACCGTGGAGAACAAAGTGAACCATACGCAGGTACAACGGGGGTCTTCAGTGAGCCGGTGTCTGGGAGACTCCAAGACGTGCAACTACTCTTACAGTCACTGAAGTCTTGTCCCCAGAGGAGAAAGGTACCTTCTGCTTTCTTTAAGCAGGCCTACAATTATTACTGAGAAAGCCTTCTTTGGAAGCCAGAAGGGAGCTTGATAACTGGGGTCCGGTGTGCATATTCTGTGGAGTGAATTTCCTATACTCTGAAAATTTAGTCTGACACCTACACAGACTTTTTGACAAACCAAAAGAAAAAAGTATGTACATTAAAAAAAACACACACACACACAACTTACTTTTTACAGTTTAAAAAACTATATGAGTATCTAAAAAACATCGCAAACAACCTGTGTCTACTAATGGAAATCTTACTCCATTTTAAATGATACCGTATTTGCAAACATGTGAGGGTCATCAAGAATAGAGAATCCAAATTCTCTGAAGTATGAGGGCTTCTTCTTTACCAGCCGTCTCAGACCCAAATGAGTTCTTGTGCCTACACCAGACCCAAACAACCGGTTAGTGGGGCCAGTTCAGGGCCAAAATGAAACAAAAACCCCTTATCGGAATGACAGTTTGGTACTGCATAGACGCAGCCTAATGCCATTTTCCAGAACTCAAAAATCCAAGGACTACTGTTTAAATCAATCATTTTCAATTCACAACTGTCTTCATTCCAGTTTAAAAACATTAAATGAATATTGCCGGGAAACCTCTTTTTATTGCCATACACTGCTTTACTTGGGCGTAGCTGCCTTGGGAAATCATAATCACGTGTGTACCCAAAGGTTTGCCCCCCACGTGTGGTTACTCTGACGCCCACTGAGTTTTAAATGGCTCTCTGCTGTTTCCTGGATGACTTCCTGGTTGATAGTGTGTGTGTGATTTCTCAGGAGATGATGCAAACCTTCTTACAAAGCATTACTACCCCAGAGTAGGCAACAATCAGGTTTTGTAAAGAACTGAGATAAATTACCAGGCTCTGGTTAAAGCAGAAAGGGGCAGCTTGGAAGCTGTCAGGGAAATAGTGTGGAGTGCTCTGCGTGGAATTGAGCGAAGGGTCCAGGTGTGTCTCTGTCTGAAGGTAGGAATCAAAGACCTGGTCGAGGCAGCTTGTATTTTCTTCACAAGAAACACAACTGGAAAATTCTCGGGCTTGAAAATAATTGGACATGGAAGAAACCTGTTCAGACTCAAAATACAGCCCTAGAAGAGAAAGGGAAAAAGACAGACTTCTTGTTTGTTTGTTTAAAAATTGTACTTACGACTTTGAATGGAATTCTGTATTCTGAATATTTTACCATGTCTAGGGGAGAAGGGGGGTTTAAGAAGTTCTAGAAAAGCAAACAGGCAGGCAATTTGGGTGTTTTTCGTTGCCCTAGTGAACTCGAGTCCCAGTGGATCGAATCTGGTTAATAATGTGGAAAGTGGCTGTAAATATGGCCAGGGCACAAATAAAAGAATGACAATTCAACCTGTGTCCAACTATCACAGTCAAATAATGGCTCAAGGCTCCACTTTCTCGGACTATAAGGCATCAACATCCCATCTGCGGTTCAAGTAAACCTCGCCTCTCAGAAGTAACGTACAACACTATGTGAAGCTTTAGGAAAACTTCTAAGGCCGTGGGAAACAAGTCTCTTGATTTAGGCTTATTGCTTTCCTAAACTTTTCATGCTCACTCAGTAACTTAAATTTTGAGGAGCAATACAGAGAGCAACACAAATGATAAAAATAGAAACCAAGAATGTAAAGTGCATCAGTGGTACTTGCTATAAATTACAAAAAGCAAAAATGTTTCCTTAGGAAACATGTTCACATGCTAACGGAATTAAAGTAAATTGTTAGCTACCAACCAAGCATAATTCTGAAAACACGACTCCTCTTCCGTTTTGTTATTAATGGGCTCAATTTCTGACTGCTAGCCTTAAATGCTCAGAGAAGACAGGTTTAGAGTGTATCTATCAGAGGACAATCGAACCCTGGATTTCTTGAAGTCTCAAGGCTCCTTAAGGTTAAATGAAAGAGCTACCATAAGCACAGTTTCCCTTGTATGTGAGCTCCGGAAACACCTAGCTGCTGGCTGGCACAGATATTAAGTTATTCGAACTGGGCTGAGAAAACTTGCAGTTGCTTGAGTGGCTCCCCGGGGAGAGAGAGGAAGGGGAGGGAAGCCCCTGTGGGTGGCTAGACATTAAATCAACAATAGCAAAGGCATTATTCGAGAACCCGAGGGTGTCCTGTAGTCCATCTAACAGTACATTAAAAAGGAGAGCAAGTTTCTGAAAGCAATTCTGATCTGTTAGCCAAGTTTAGTGACTTGGCGATGAGGAACTGGAATAAATGTGAAGAACCAACTCTCGGGACAGAATAGGAAGCAGCAAATAGACGTCTCAGAAAAGAAGGACAAAAATGCGCCCTTGTTACCTTGCTGGGCTTGCATCTGGAGTCGCTATGCCTGGTTCACTTTCTGATTGGTTGGATTCCAATTAAATGGTGGTGTCTATCTTAACCCCCGAATCAAGCACTGAGAGACTTTCGAGGTGGACCTTTGGAAGAGGTTTTGAGGGAACTGTGACGTTGGTTGTACTGACCTGCAGCAGATGGTGGGACTGGGTCTGAAAGGTGGACGCCGTTGTCCCCAGGCAGCTGCCAAAGCAAGAACAGGACCACAGAGCTCATGAACTCAAAGTGCTTCCCGGGGAAAGCGAAGCCATTTTCACATGAACTTTGGTGCCTTCTGCTCTAAGGTAAGCCAGATTCTTTCTTCTAAAAAAAGGTGGCTGTCGTTACATACACCCAATGTTCTATTTTATTTAGATTCAGTTTTTATGTTTGCTTGGGTTTTTTCCCCCCCAATATCAGATTTTCCCACTTAAATTTTAAATTTAAATTTAGATAAAAAATGAATGTAAACGATTTGTATGTTACAGAGAAATGGAATAGTTTGAGAATACCCAGTAAACAGCTTTTCTATTAAACAATTTAATTGAAAATTAATAAGAGCTAAACTTATTTAATCCCAACGCTCTGTGACTTAGTCTATCATTTTCTTCAAAATTTTGATATTCTCTCTGGCTGCTTAGCCTTAGGAATTTGTTCTCCCAAAAGGACACAATTCCTAACTTTGCTAATCCTGGGTGGCTGAAAATAGTTACATGAATAGTTACATGAAATAGTTACATGAAATATTACAACAGAAAATATCTTCTTAAAACTGCAGTCAGTGAGCCGAAGCCTCTCTACATTCTAGATAATACTCGGAAGTAGTTCGACTTTGTGTGAGTTGCTTTTTTCCCTACTCTGAATACCTGAGATTTAGGGAAATTTATGAGATTATCCCTTTGAACTGTTTAAAGTAAAGCAGCCTGTATCTTCCAATTGAACTGATAATTGTACTGAGTAATTTCGGATTCTTTTTTAAGGTTTCAGATGGTGCCTTTAAAGTTTAAAGGGACCAGCACTGCTCTGTGATCCATGCCGGGAAGCCAAGCTCGCCACACCTCTCTTGGATCACAGCCTATACTTCACTCCCATACAGCGCACTGCTGCGGGCAGGGGTGGGGGTGGGGGGTGGGGGGCGGGGGGCTTCCCTGTCAACCGCTGCTGAAACAGGCCATGGTGGTAAGTCTGAAAATGATCCATGCCGTAATGTCATGAACCAGGAAGCTAGAATCCTTCACCAGCTCTTTATGCAAATATTTGGCTGCAGCTTGAGCTGAAGGACTTGGAAGGAGTGGGTTTTTAAAAAATCTGCTTCATGGCAGAGCTCCCATTAACCCCACTGCTCCCCGGGGAATGGTCTATTTGTCTGCCTACCCACATTATCTCCCTCAGGTATGTTTACAGTCTCCTGCTCGATATTATCTCTCTAGTCATGGGTTCACTTTCTACTTCGCTCCAAGAATACAAAGAAAGGCACCTTTCTCTCAGGTTTCAAAAGGGCACAAAAATCCACAATCTACAATTTATAAAAGCACATCAAGGCTGTTTTAAAAAAATTAATGGTTAAAAAGGGTAAAGTATATCTTTTCATAAATATGAACTCAAGTTTCCCTTTCTCCTAAAGGTAAAAGAATTGTGTGTGTGTGTGTGTCTGTGTCCCTGCAAGGTGTTGGTTCAGAAGTACTGCTTTATTATTTCTTGGGGGTGTTGGTGGTGGGGGGGGGTTAGAATTCAGAAAAACTTAGATAAATCACATAGCTCCAGCAAATGGATACTGGTCAGATACACAAGTGAAATGTTTTACCCTTTGCTTTCATTCCCGCAGTTAGCTAAGGGGAACAGTGGCCAAATCAACCTGTAAGAGGCCAACAGCCATAAAATCATCATGCCCAAATGGGACTTCTCCAGGTACACTGAAGCAGAATTCTACCATGTACCAAAGCTCCTTAATGAAAGATTATACTTTGTTGGGAACATCCTGCTGATTTTTTTTTTTTCCATCGGAGGCATTTCCCAGTTCCCTTGTTCCTGGTTTTATTAATTTTATAACCATCTCTGAACTGAAAGAATTGACAGTTGAGATTACCAGACTTCTGCTCAGCACAGTTGGATCTGCAGAAGGATGAATTTAGGGAGCCAATAGGTGGGAATGTTTTTGTTGTTGTTGTTGTTGTTGTTTTTTACATGAAGAGTAAGAAGACCTTGGCCCTGTTTTTAGCTCTGCCTTTAGTAACTGTAAGACTTTGAACTTCAGCTGGAATAGAAGCATGCAGATCCTGATCTATTTACCTCACTTGGTTGTTATAAGAACTAAATGAAATAATGAGTGTGTAAAAGTGCTATCTTTTAACCACTGTACAAACCCTCTGCAAATGGAAGGAAGCTTTATGTGTTAGCTAACATTCTGTACACGGAGGTACGAACTTTTGCCATGAATGTAAAATTTGTGCTGTACGGGCTGAATCACAGCAAGCTTACACCTGAACTTGAAACTCTGAGCAAAGGGAGCCAATGGACGTTACTGGGTAGCTGGCTTTCAGTTCTTGGTTGTAATTTTATTTCAGTTGCTTTTCATAAATAATGATAATGACAGCTATCATTTATTGAGCACTTGCTAAATGGAAAGCACTCTTCTAAGTGCTTTATATGCCATAACTCATTTAACCCCCATAAAATCCTACTGTCTCCAGCTTAAAGATGCGGACACAGGGGATGAGCCCGAGTAGTTGCTCCAGGATCTGCACATACCACAGAGGAGCTCAGATCTGAACCCAGTCCACTGGTTCTAGAACCTGTGCTCATCTCTCCTACAACATTTGCCTCTTCCCACAAAGGCCCATTTCAGGAAGTCGTGCATTGCACACCAACAGCACCAAGCTCAAAAACCATTGTGGGGAGGATGCCAATAAGCTGGAGACAAGACCAATCCTAACACTGGCAATATGGGCTCATCTGTCATAGCCCACATCCACACAAGCAACCCACAAGCAATTGTACGATCAAGGGCTTTCAGCAATGAAATTACCCTCTGTGGGAGGAGAACCCCACCTAGTTTATTTGGTTCTGCTGCTGCCCTGAACACTCTTGGCAGTCCTATCTGCTTTAGAAAGTATAGAAAGTGGCAGGGTACCCTTATGACTGCCCACATCACCTCCTGATAACTGGGAACTGCTTAAGGCTTCATATGAAGGAGGAGGTTCTAAACCCTGAGCTCTCTCTTCTGCAGTCACATGGCCCATTTCTGCTGGGAACTTTCTATGCCTGGTGATTGGCAGATAAATGACCTCAGAGGCTGGGTTTCATAAGAATGAGAAGCAGGGGGCATTTCCACAGAGATTCTCTCCTTGAAGGGCTCGCTAAAATGAAATGAGTTTCTGGGAGAGATTTTCTTTGCTCATGTGAGGGCACACACACTGTCTTCTTACCGGAACAACAACCTGCTTACCTGCTGGTTGCTCCTCTCCCTGCACCAGGCCAACAAGCCCTTTATACTCAACTATGATCAGTGAGGGACGAGCTCCCCCCAACTCCTGAGCCCCACCCAAGCTCTAGCTGTCCTTTGTGGCTTCCTGTGGTGAGCTGGGAAGACGCGGGGCACAAAAGTTATAAAGACAGCTGAGGATGGCCAGGTCTGGGGACGGTGACTGAGCTTGGCGTGGCCTCCTACACCTTTCCAGGCGCAGGGTTAAATGAGGCTGAAGGCAAGGCGCGGAGTAAGGGAAGGGGTGATGCTTACGGTTCCCCGCGAGGCTGCCTGGTGTGCTCTTCTCTGCTGAAGCAGCTCCTTCACTGTTATCTTCACCCGGACACCTTGATACACCTTCGGTTTCTCTGGGGAAAGGCAATCCAGTCAGTGGTCAAGTGGGAAGTTTGGAGGTCAGACTGGGATGTGGGGGGTCCTCATTATAGGCTATGAAGCTGGAGGCCAGGTTTCTAAGTTTGAAGAATGCAAAGAGGAACCCCAAATTTCTCCAACTTGAAAGGATGAGGAGAAGCTGGGCAGGTTTCAGGGCCCTAGTGGGAACAGAACCTGTGGAAATCCGCGGGGACACCCATCCCAGGCTGGGCCCTATCCCTAGACCAATAGCACACAGGTTTTTCCGCTCAGGAATGTGGAGAGCAGCCTAAGGAAACTCACCACCTTGGCTAAATTAGGGGAACCTCGGGCTCTGGGCCCAGCCTTCCGCCTGGGAGAGGGTATTAGGGGCCTGGGAGGCGCCCAGGGCCAAAGCAGGGGTGCCTTCTCTGATCTGGAGCAGCTGACTTAGGCCACCCCACCGTGATGCTCCCACCCGTGTGGAAACTCTGAGTCCTTCTCTTCTCCAGCAGGCCGAGCTCAGCTTCTGGGGAGGCTCTAACCTCTACGTGCCCTTGGTCTGGACTCAGCCCCGGGACAAGCGGCGGGCAGGGGTGGGGTGTGGGGGTTGGAGAGCTCTGTCCTCCGGCCACTGAGGGACTTGCTCGACCGACCACAGGAAAGGGACCGGGCCCAGGGCACTGCCTCCCTCCCGAATTTTTCTTCTGCCCTGTCTCCCTCGCCCCCTTTCTCCGCCTTTCCGGCTCTCCATCCTTCCCTCCTCCCTCCTTCGGCCCCCGCTCCTGCTCGCCCTTCTTCCGTCGCTCCCCACCCCTTCCCTTTCGGGTGCAGGCGTCTCTCGGCGGCTCACGGAGCCTCGGGCCACGCCGAGCGGGGCTCCCGGGGACCGTGCAGCCGGCGGGGAAGCCGCCCTCGGGGCTGCGGGGCCCGGCCGGACTGCGCGGCTCGCGGGAGGCCGAGCGGCGCCCAGGTCGGCGGGGAGGGGTCCGGGCGCGCCGGGAGCGGGCCGGCCGGGCGGAGCCGCAGCGAGTAGGTGAGACTTTGCGGGCTGCTGGGCCACGCGGGCCGGGCCGGGCGGGCGCGCTTCCGCGATCGGGGGTGGCCGCGGGGGCACCGGCCACTCGGGCCCTGGCCTCGACCCTGCAGTGGGCGCCGCGGCGATCGCGTGGGAGGGGCCGGGCCCCGCGGCTCGGGGCGGCCGCGCGGACGGCCGGGCGCCTGGCGACAGTGCGGGGCCGCCAGCGCCGCGCCTGGTCACTGCGGAGACCGCAGCCGACCGCAGGGGGCCCGCGCGCCGGGTCCGGGAGCTGGGGGTCTCCCGGGAAGGAGGCTGCGCCGTTCGCCGCCCAGACCCAGGGAACCGCGCGCGGCCCGCAAGGCCTGGGCTCCGCGCTCTCGCGGCCGTCCAGTCTCGCCCCCGCGCTCCCCGAGCGGCTCGCAGCGCGGGGGGCCGCGGGTGCAGCCGCGGGGCCGCGGAGGGGCTGCCAGCGCCCACCCCTGTGCGGCGGGCGGCGCGCGGCTCGGGTCCCGCTCGCCGTGCGCCTCTAGCTCCCCCCGCCGCCGCTTCTGGGCACGCAGAGCCCGCGCCGCCAAGCCGCAGGGTCGCAGCCGTGGCCGAGTGGAGGGGCGGGCGGGGGGTCGGGGTGCGCGGACGTCCGCAGCGGCCCAGCCGGCCTCTGGGCCTCTGCCCTGGGGAGCAGGCGCCGGGGGGAGCGGCCACAGGGGGGCCCGTGCCCTCGCGGGATCCCGGCTCATACTGGCATGCCCTGACTTTGTGCCTCTCTGTTCTCCGCAGGCAAAGCTGTGGGAAAACGCCCGGGTCGCAAGGCCCCTGGCTCGCGTGACCCGACCCCAGAAGCAGCCCCGTTACCCGACATGGTGGTCAGCAGCAGCTGGGGCGCTGGCTGGGTGCTGCAGCTCCGGGGACTCGGCGCCTCACAGGCCTCCTGTGCAGGGAGAGAAGCAGAGATGCAACATTTTTAAAGTTTCACAAAGCATCCAGCTGCACCCAGGTTCCTGGAGCAGGAGACAAACAGAATTAATGTTTTATACCTTCGGGTATAGGTTTGAGTTTTTTCCCCCTCATGCCAAGTATTTAAAACCTCTAGAAACCCATGATTTGACAATCAATGATTGCGCGATACTTTCAATTTGAATATTCAAAGGCTTAACAAAATGGACTATCTTCTGCAGAAATCCTGCACACAGGCACCCCACAGACAGTCCAAAGAAACAGGGAGTGAGACCCCTTTGGGTGCTGGGCCTTGCTTTTATTGTATTTTTAAACATTTTGCCCACCTTTCCACAGACAGAGCAGGAGTCCTCAAAGATGCTCTGTATTTCTGCCTCAAAAGCAGCTCGGGGAGCCCCGAGTGACTTAGGGGACCCTTCATGACCACCTGAGCCAGGCTGGCCCACCAGACTGATTCCTGTATCCCTAGTCTCCATTTTGAGGGAAAATCTCAGGTTTGGAGGAGTGAGCATGGCAGCCAGCGGGTATGACCTAGCAGGGAGTCACTCTGGCCCCAGGTTGCAGGCTGCAGGCCTGGCAGAGGCCTCAGCTCTGTGCCTCATCTCCTTCTGGCCCCGCCTGGCCACCAGCGGCTTCCTTGCCTTTGGTCGGCTCTCCGTCTGGGCCCCAGACACTGCGATTTCAAGACAGAATGCCTGCCCATTAAGACCCTTTGCTCCTCCACCAGGAGCCGGGGATGTGTGTGGGGCCTCACCCCCAGGATTTTCTGAGGCTGGAGTCTCTTGTGCTGTGAAGTCCCTCTCCTCTCCTCTTTCTCTGTCTTGAGCCATCCCTGCCCCTTTTACTGCAGGAGTATGTGTTGAGAAATGATGATTAGCTTGGTTCCTGCTCATTTTAGCTTAAAGGACACAGATTTGTGTTCAGGCCTTCACACTTTGCGGGAGAGGTGGGAAATTCTTGACACCAGGCTGCTAGGCTATTGCAAGCTGAGCCCCTCCCAAACGATAGAACTGTGCTGGGTTATGTTCTCCACACACTTGCCAGGCCTCTTCCGTGTGATTTGGGAGCTCAGGGAAACAGGAGTGCTCCCGAGAGGAAGTGAGAGCCGGCCCAGATCCCCTTCTAGCCCCTGAGGGAAGAGGGTGGCCCCAGAAGACAGAGAAGCGGGATGGGGTTCCCTTTGTGAATAAGCCAAGACATTCCCAGGATGCCAGGCCAGGCAATGGTTACGGGCCTCTGTTCCCTGAGTTCTCTGAAATGCCAAGAGTGGAGCTGAGCCCCATAGGCCACCAGAAAAATAATCTGAATTCCCTTGAGTGGGTCCACTGCAGGGTAGGACATACCCAGATGGGGGCATGGGGGTCTCCGAGGTGACAAGACCTCAGAGTCTGGGATGGGGAGGAGCTGCTTGGCAGGGCATCTGGGCTGGGAGCAGTTGAGATGGCACCTGGCCCTGGAGGGCAGGACGGGGTGTGTTTGTCTCTAGCCCAGCTGGAATCTGTCAGCCTCTGCAGTCTCTTTCCACAGAGGCCTCTGAGCCTGTGTCCTGCGTTTCCCCGATGGGCATCAGGCCTGAGGACCAGGCTTGTGAGGAGGGGAAGGACAGTGGGACTTCACAGAGCCCCTGTTCCCTCTCTCCCTGCCCTGCCCCCATCTGGGCACTGCTCCTTCTGACGGAATGGTGAACAAAACTGTGGATGTAGGGAGGGTCTCTTGTCCTCAAAGCTTCGTCCGGTACTTCTTTTCTCTTTTGTCTTCCTCCTTTTGGTTTTCCACTTCTTTTTTGTTTGCTTTTAAAATCTTTCTTTTGGACTTTCTATTTACTTTTTTCCAAGTTCCTTCCTTCCTTCCTTTCTTCTTTCTTTCTTTCTTTCTTTCTTTCTTTCTTTCTTTCTTTCTTTCTTTCTTTCTTTTCCTTCCTTCCTTTCTTCTTTCTTTCTTTCTTTCTTTCTTTCTTTTCCTTCCTTCCTTCCTTCCTTCCTTCCTTCCTTCCTTCCTTCCTTCCTTCCTTCCTTTTTCTTCTTTCTTTCTTTTCTTTCTTTCTTCTTTCTTTCTTTCTTTTCTTTCTCTTTCACTTCCTGTCACTGCCTTCTTCCATTTCTTGCCTGCATTGCTGTCTTTCTCCTTGGCCCCCTGAGTGTGTCAGTTTCCCTCTCTTCTGGGGTGCTTTCTAATTTTTTCAGGCTTCCTCTCCTTGCTAACCTCTTGTTTTGCTGGGAGATGGACAGCGGTGCTAGGAGGCTACTGAGTTCCCTTGGCAACATCACTGAAGCTGAGGCTGATGTTTGGCTACACAGTATTTGCAGAAGGCAGGCGGAGGTTGGGGACTGTGAGAGATGAGGTCCTTGGAAGTCACATGGTCTGTAGAGACAGCAAAGAACTCTGTCCCTTCCTTGAGAAACCTCTGCCTGAACCATGGCAGCAGTTCTGGGGGCTTCTGTGTTGCCCCTGTTGTTGAGATGGATGTTCCAGTGCTGTCACTGGCCTGAACTTCGGAAAACTGGATTTCCTCAGGCCTCAGCCCCATTTTGGGAAACTGGGAGAAGTCTCCCAGTTTTTACCCCAATATGAAGAAGTTTGGGTTCCTATAATTTGTTCCTATAATTTGTTTCTATAATTGCAAAACCCCAGCACAGATATTTTAGGTACAATAATCATGCTTGTGGGTGCAAAGGAGAGTCCTTTCTAAAAAGTCCCGTGAATCTTTCCTGCAGATCTGCACATGTCGTGAGGCCTAGAGCATCCAGGTCTACCCCAAGACCCCATAGAGTTGATGGTCCTCATGGGAGACTTTTTTTCTAAAAGGTGTCATTTATTGAGTGTTTATTGGATATCAGGCACTGTATTGTACGGCCTCCCCGTTTCACAGATGAGGCTCAGAGAGGTAAGCAACATGCCCAAGATTCTTAAGCACATAAATGGCAGGATTGGGTCTCAAACTTTGGTAAATCTGATGCAAAAGCTCTTGCTCTTCACTATCAATGTTGTCTTCCTGATCCTTTATAACAGAGGCTTTCAAACTTCTCTGACTTCAACCCACAATAATAAATCCATTTTACATGTTCACAGACTATGTAACCACATTTACATGTTTATTTAACAAATTTCTCATGAAGCAAAATACACCTATGTATATGAGGCATTCTGACATTTCCTCTCCTATCTTTTCCATCTCATTCTATTTGAAAAATGTATGCTGGTTGGGAGTCATGAAGACAATTTGCTGACCCACGAATGAGTTGTGACCAGCACTGGAAAAATTCTGTCTGTGAGACAGGCAAACACACTTGTGAACGCTGTGCATGTGGAAGTATTTTGATGTGCTGTTTGTATTCCTGTCAGGGTGTGTGAGGAGACCAAGGCAGGGCAGCATACTGACTTGAAAGTATTCTGTAAAGACTGGGGACACCAGAACCCCAAAGGGGAGACCGGCTGGAGGAGAAGGTGGGCTGCCCACTAAGTTAATTACAGTTTGTGCTTCTCAGACTAGGGACTCTTCCCTCTCGCTGGGGGCATCGTCCCCTCCAGGGTGTCTGCCCTGAAATCCTGATAATCATTCTGGAGGTTTAATAAAAGACTGGAAAAAAAAATGTTGTGATCTTTCAACAGGCTTTAACAGGCTCACTTGCTTAAAAATATAGCACAGGGTCCTGATGTTTGGATGTTGAAAGGGACCTTTGAGGTGTTGAGAGAGACTTAGAGTCTTTTCCCAACATTCCTGCTGGTGGTCAGCCAGCCTCTGTCTCCCTCCACCACTTGGCTGAGCTCCTGGCCCATGGGAACATGCGTGGAGGAAATGGGAGCTCTGTCTTTATAAGGGAGCCCGTTCCACCGTTTAAATATAGTGATCATCGATTGAGCCAAAATCCAATGAGATGTTAATTGTGCACCAACTATGTCCTGGCATGATATCAAGCACCAGGAACACAAAGATAAATAAATCCTGGTTTTTGCCATCAGCTGCCTGTTAAATTACAGAGGGAGTGGGATACCTGTTCTCCCACTTCCTTTCCACTGTTTCTCCACTATGGGTTTGTCTGGTTCATTCGCTGATTCATTCTTTCAACAGCATATACTGATCACCTACTCTGGCCAGGCCCAGTGCTGAGCCCAAAGAAGTCATGCCCAGCCCTGCCCCCTGCCCCCTGCCACAAGCCTTTTCTTTTTGAGGCTTGTTATCTGTAGTTCCTCTAATTTTTCACATATAGTTTTTCAGGTCTCTGAGCCACTGAGCTCAGAAACCCTCTAGTTTGTCACTGACCTTCTTAGAGTCCCTGAGCACCCAGAATAATGGGAATAGAATACATTTATTTTGAAAGTTTTAAATGGAATATTTAACTGAATTTTTTTGGCAGGCTTTCATATGCAAATGACACTGAAGAGCATTATATTTTTCCCCCAAAGTAGGAGATTTCATGAATATGAAAAGAGTATCGGTATAAGGAAAAAGGGGGAGTTTATTCCCTCCAAATTTGACTACAGCTCTAAAATTCTCTTTATTAATGCAAAGTTCCTTTGTCATTTTGACTTTGGGACACTGTTACCAAACCTTGTGGGAAATATCAAGTTCCAAAAACCTGGCAGAAACCAGTCCTTCCTGGGCCCAGAGTGAATGTTTGGTCCATATGAAAATGATCAGGAAAACTCATAGATGGAGATTGTTTAATGATTTGTGGTAACTCAGTCTCTTCCCATTAAACATATCCAAAGTTTTAACTTTTTCTCAAGAGGCTTCTGTAGGGAATAAGCATTTTATAATTTATCATTTAAGTAAGGAAAATATTGTCAGATGCTGCTTGAGAAGTTTACCTTTTACTTAAAACATTTTTATTATGCAATATTTGAGACGTACAAAAACATATAAAGATGACTGTGATAAAAGCCTATGAATATATTACCAAGGTTAAGAAAGAAAAAAAATTGAGTGATCTTTCATTTATGACTAAATTCATTTACTAAGCATTAAACTTCTGGATTATTCCACTCAAGATATTTCGTTAGGTAGAAAGTCCGTAGGGATATTTATCAGCTTTCCTAATGCAAAAGAGCTAATTCTTAAATATTATTTGTTTTGTCCACATTTTCTTCCCTTTCGAACTTGTAAAGATTTTTTACTGTCCTCCTCTTTTGGCCTATAATATACTAACAATGAGAGTGCATATTGCAAACCCACACATCTTATTTATCAGAGGCTAAGAGTAGATCTTTCTGTATCAAAGATCAAAGATAACATGGTGTCATAATATTAGAAGATTTTCTTATTATTTATTTAGCCTGATCTTTAGGGATTCTAGTTCCATATCTATTTATCATATTTGTTTTAATCACACCAGAGATAACACCCAGCTTTGAATAACTTTTATGTATGAGATTTCCTAGGAACATATTATAGTACATGTAGATACTAAACGAATATACAAACATTTTTCTGTGCTACGTCAAAGTTCAGTAGGATTCCTTCTTAGAGACATTTAAAAATACTAAGCCAATCATCTTAAATATATTACCACTACTACTATTAAAATTTGCAGAGACTATGGCTAATGTGAAATACTAAACATGGCAGGGTTTTCTTACACATCAGTCTCAGAGAGATGTTGCCCCTAGAGTCAGAGTCTAAAGAGTTAATCATTTTTGTGGCATAATTTTAGTTCAATTTAACGAAGATTTTACTGAGCACCTATAACATGCTGGGCACTAAGCCAGATGCTGGATACACATGTCTGAGCCATTCGTGAGTCCTCGCTTGATGAGTTTGGTCAGAGACTCTTTAGCTAGAGTGGTTGATTTCGCATTTAGGCTCTCTAGGGTCAGTCCTTATTGAATATGGTCTGTAAAGGAACAGTGTAATGTTTTGAAAAGAAAGGAAACTTGAGACAGAACCCAAAGATAGAACCTAAAGAAAGTATGATTTTGGCATGTGGTTGGTAGAATCACTATAATGTTAAGGTGATTTAAACCTTGGATCCATCAATAGTCATTTCGGCTTTTTATGTGTTACTGATGTTTTATTTCTTGTGAATGTATTATTGAGATTTACATATTTAAAAAAGGAGCACAAAGATACGAGTAATACTTATTTTTTAAAGATTTTATTTATTTTTACTAGAGAGAGAGAGAGAAGTCAGATGGGAGAAGAGATTGTGAGAGCACAAGGACAAGTGAGGGGAGGGGCAGAGGGAAAAGCAAACTGCCCTCTGAGCAGGGAGCCTGACCCTGGGATCATGACCTGAGCTGAAGGCAGACGCTTAACTGACTGAGCCACCCAGGTGCTCAACTAGTAATACATATATATATATATGTCTATGTGTGTGGGTACATCTCTACGTATGTACATGTATATTTTCTATTGGGATTTGGAATTCTTTTCCCTTTGTGGAATTTCTTGTAGAGAATTCTAGTACTTTAGAGTACTAGAGTATTTCCTCCCCTACCACAATAGTACCATTATATTCTATTATTAACCGAGGTGTAGCAAGTCACACTGCTCATTTAAGAGCATTTATAAAACAAACTAGGTAAAGATGTGGTTTTCTTTCATTCTCTGGGATTTGCATAACATTATAAGAGAGCACAAACACTCTCAACTACATGCTGTTAATGTCTGTTTCCAGTGCTTTCAGGGAGGATTGTGTATACTGCAGTTTTCGCAGGGGCAAATTCACTTTCTGGTTCTTCTTGACATTATTATCTAGCCAGCTTTCTTGGGTAACTTGAACTTGCCATCATCGTCTCTGCTTACCTTCAACCTTAAAGGACCTAAAGGAGATAGTGTTTTGAACCTGAGTTCTCTAATTTTTCCTGCTTTCCCCAGGAAAGTTATGAGCCTGAGGACAGCAGGTTTAAGGAAGGAAAGGAAGAGGAGGATGCACATTTTTTTTTTTCTGATGCTGGCATTATGCATTATTATGACCAGATGCATTAAGTCCCCAGCATGCAGAGGGACAGAGAGCATACTTGAGTGGGAGAGAAATAGATATTTTTCCATGTCATAATTTTGTAGCTTGGTTTCACCTTGTGACAAAGTATTGTCAATTCCCAGAACAATAAACCTGAACCAAATTGAAATATATGTAATAATATAGAAACACATTATCAAGCTAACTAGAATTCCTAAAAATCATCCCTACCACTTGGAATTCCTAACACCCCTCCCCATGCCTCTGTCCCCTTTAGACCAGGTAGCTGAAATGGATACTAGATGCAGTGCGGGTCCGTGTATGTCTCCTTTCTTGTAAATCACTTTTGTGAAGCATAGTGAAAGGGCTTGGATGCTTTAAGAAGAATGTGGATTGCACTGCAATCCCTGCATTTACCTCTGTTCTGAGGTCTGGTTGCTGAGCTCTCCTTACCTAAGAGCCAGTGTGTCCTTAGGTTGTGAGAAGATGAACATAACCCGTGAGAAGATAAGCGCAAACTAAGGGAAATGAGCATGTCTAACATTTAGCATTATAACCAAACAGAAGTTAAAGCTACGTGGACACATATTGATGGTCTACACACCAGTATTGTGCTATATGCTACTTTGTAACAATGGTCAACAGCAGATGACTGGAATTATTATGAAATGTATACAACCAATTTAGAAAAATGGCTTTTGGGACCCAGATCTCTTCTTTCGGATGCAGGGACCTGGATGACAGATGGCTCTGCCAAAGATCCCAGGATCGGGACTGAGGTCTCAAGTCTCACTGGACTTAAGAAAGAGCTGTTTTCTTGCCCACAGTGGAAGTTGCCCCTTTCTAGTGAAGAGCTAATATGGAGCAAAGTAAAGATCAGGCTGTGACAAGGTGTGGTGAGAGGGAGGAAGTAGGGGCAGGGGACCTGGGAGAGGGCAGCCTAGCGTCTGGGGACCATCAGTTTATCTCCATTGGAGAATGCTCTCCCAGGAGGCTCCGTATCCAAGCATTTCTGTGGGCATTCCATAAATTGGGAGTGTATTTGCTTCACCAGAAAATATCCATGAAGGCACAGACAAGGAGGAGTATCCATTAGTCACTTCTAAGTATGAATTAATGTCCTTATTTGATCTTTCTAGACTCCTACCTAGCTGAGGTAGAGCATGGGACACTGTAACAGAGGATGTGATGGAAACTGTATTGAGTGGCTTTAGACAACCAGGTGGAAAATGAGAGCAATGGGCCCCCAGGAGATGGAAGGAAAAGGCATTGGGTCAAAAGGGACCAGAGGGGTCAGGAAAATGTAATATGGGAACATAGAAAGGAAAGTGGCAGGAAAATAGTAGAAGGAGTGGGGTGGGACCTGTGGGCCTCGACTGTGCTCTGCAAAGTCAAGGTGTGTGTGAGGCTTTTATGACGGGCTTGGCCTGGAGCCAGGCCCACTTCTTGGTGGGAATTACTTTGTGAACTCAACTGGCAAAGGAAATCCGTGCCGGCTCAAACTTACATGAGATGGAGAGAGGCTTCAGATGTCAGTTTCTTTATACATGGGAAGAGCTGTATATTTCGGACCAATGAGCCACCAGCAAGGTCTTCCTTCAAATGGGACGTGTTGTGTGTCATGGTGCTTGCATGACACCTGGCCATGTGTCCTTCTCCAAAGCCCCCGTACTTCTTGGTGTTTTGTGGTCTGTTGTTTCTTGCCAACAGCCCAGTTCTGTTCTCCGCATTTTCCTTACTTATTCTTATTTGATTATAGAACACCCATTTTACTAACCCACTCTGATGACTGTAGGTTTTTCCATCAGAGAAACAATGTCTGGTTTGATTAAGGCTACCATGGGTCAAAGAAAGTTTTGGGCCCATATCGGCTTTTGGATTAGACTCATTTTTGGACATCCTAGACTTTAGGGCAGAGTCAAAGCTATGTATTTATGAAGCCATAGTCTCCTGACCTCATCCTATTTTAAAGACATAAAGCGTTTATATGTCGTGCTATATTAGTTACGGGGCTATATTTGAAATGGTTTACAAGTCACAAAGGAGAGAAACATATATAATACTTTCCCCTTTTTAAAAAATTTTTTAAAAAAGATTATTTATTTATTTAGAAAGGGGGGAGGGGCTGAGGAAGAGGGAGAGAGAGAATCCCAAGCAGATTCCGCACTGAGCATGGAGCCTGACGTGGGGCTTGATTCCACAACCCCAGATCATGACCTGAGCCAAAATCAAGTTGGATGCTCCAATGACTGAGCCACCCAGGTGCCCCAATACTTTCCTCTTTAAAAATCACATGGTATAAAATGAGTTTTGCTTTATGTGCCCTAATCTATATTATATCCTATGCTTTTTCTCTTATTACAGAACACAGTTCATAACTAAGAAAAACTGAACAGGAAAATCAGTATATTTCATGATCTGCACAAACTTTTTAAATGTAATTTAAGAAAAATATGAGCACTAAAAGTATTTCAAAGATAACAGAAATTCAGAAATGTAATGCGTTCCTAAAGTTCCAACAACACATGAGTCTCTAGTGTCTCACTAGAATATAGTCCCTGATATCCTGAATTAACATCACGTGTATTTCAGTGGGGTTGTGGGAGGGAGGATTACAAGTAAATGCATGGTCCATTTACAAAGGGTGGCGCGATGGCATATTCTGAAAATCCAGGTCCGAATGAGCTGGAAACACCCTGAAAACAATCTGTCAAATACCGAACCCAGCTCAAAGAAAAGCACGGCAGGAGTCCGGTGGCGTGCCCCTCAGTAAGCTCTGCGGCATTCATATGACCCCCACGCCATGCTCCCGTCTTCTTTGGTCCATGAAGAAGGGTCCTGAAGGCCAGCGGTGTCTGCCCCCTCATCTGGGGAGAGGGGCACCACCTTGTGTGGTAGGTCGTTGGACATCGTCATGAAAGGGGTGAAGGGATGGGGGGGTGGCATGGGGTACCCCGGCACATGGTACAGATCCTCCAGTGCATGCAGTGAGTAGGACTGAGCCCCAGCCAGGGGCACCCCCCAGCTCGAGCTCCTGTGCGGGGCGGTGCTCCCTGACTCCGGCTGGGAGAGGCAACCTGCGCTGGGTGGCAGGCTCTGCAGGGTGTCGGTGGGCACGGGGTCGGCCTGGCTGAGACAGTCGGGCGCCGTTTGCTCCCACGAGTCCCTCTGAGGAGAATGGAAAGGTGACTGGGGTTAGTCATCAGGGGATACTCTGATGCGGACAGATGTCCTCGCCAGCACTGGCTGCCAGTGGACACGGCTTCCAGAGTGGACTCGGGGCCCTCCCTCTGCTGTTCCGTCTGCTGTGGCCCCTCACCAGGCACCTGTCCCCTCTGTTTGACACCGGCAGTGAGAGTTCAAGTTCCTTTCTAGCTCTAGCGTTCCGTTCCCTAGATATATTACAATCCCTTTCTCTAGAAAACAACATTAAATGAGTAAAATGAGGGAACAACAGAATGAACATTTGTACAGCATTTTACCACTTCCAACGTACCATGTCTTGCATTCCTTCTGAGCTTCACAATACACAGAGTCCTAAAATGCCCTGTCCACACTGGGGACGTCAGCTCCGGCTACTCCTGAAAGAAGCAGGTCTCTAAACTACATGATGGGCTTCTCCCCTCCGTGAGCCAAGAGGTAGGAGCTTCCAGAGGCTTGGAGCTGGAAAGATTTGGGTTCAGTCCCTGGCTGCGCCACTTACTCCTTCCTGACGCTGAGTACCTCACTTTGTTCATCTGTAAAATGGGGCTTTAGCAAGTATATCCCGAGTTGTTGCAAGTGTTAAATGACCAAAGGCACACAGAAGTTCCTGGCTGGAGTAGTTTCCCCATAATGTTAATTCCCACCCCCCTCTACCCCCCATAGTCGAAAGTCCCATCTTTAGAGATTCATTCCTTTGTATTTGAAGGCTTTACAGTTTTCTCTAAGATGGGTGTTGTATTCTTCAGATCTTTATGAACTCACCTCTTTGTTAGGATCGAGGGAGAGCAAGATTCTATAGGGTAGAAATATCGTGGGGAGGGGCGTTGTGGGGACTGGGAGGGAAGAAGGCCTGATGTGCCTGCTCTGGCAGATGCCAGCCTAGTCTGTGGGTGTGGGACCTCAGTGCTCTTTCCTTGGGTGCGGGAGGAACGATCTGGCAGGATCAGCAGAGTCCTAGCAAAATGGACACAGACCCTGCCGTATAGTCGTCCCCTCACAAGCCCCTGGACAGACCCTGTCGCGGTCGGAGTCGGCGCGGATCTTTGAGGGAGGCCGCAGGGGTGCGCAGGGCGAGCCAGATCTGGCTTCCACCCGGTTGCCAGGTGCACGCACTGGCCAGATGTGCGCGCGCCCAGACTTCACCTTGCTCCCTAACCGTGAACCACCTGCATACTCACAAGCACGAAGTGCGTCGGGGGGTCCCCCGGGAAAGGAGGCGGCAGGAGCGGCGGCAGGGGTGAGGCGCTGAACAGAGAGCCGGTGCCGGGGGTCAGGCCCGGGGGCCGGTGGTCCCCGTAGGGCTCCGGGAAGTAGGGATCCAGGAGGCCCGGGTGGCTCTGCCCTGCGGGGGCCTCGCAGGCAAAGGGCTTGGCCGCGGGCCCCGAGGTGCCGACGTCGCTCGCGAACTGTTTAGTGTTGTGGAGGTCTGAGTCGGAGAGGCACGATCTTCTGACCCCATAGTAACCTGTCATTACTGGTGAACCTGTTGCCAAAGGGAAAAGAAACGGGCAAAACTGTCCCCATGGGAAGTCTGGGTGTATCTGTGGCAGCCGAGACTCTCCACGTGGGGAACGGTCTTTCTAACGCGGGCCGGATACCAAGGCAAATATTTAAATAGAGATAGGTCTTGAAAAGCATTAAATACTGCTGCATTGCCTCTTTTAACTGGTCCAGCCCAAATAACTATGTTTAACCTTCACTCTGCCTTTGGAGATGAGTTCATTTGAGATGGCGCAGTAACTCTTCTCATTCACTCACTCAACACACGTTGTGCACTTTCTGTGTTCCAGTTACTGCCCTAGGAAAAGTTTGGGCGCAAAGAGAAAAGAAAAGAAATCCCTCGCCCATCTACATTCTATCAAATGAAGTGTCTTTTTCCCAGTGTCTGAGCTCTGTCTCCATGTACATAGGACGGCGAACAGCAGGCCGTTTCTGGGCATGGTATCTGAGGTTCAGTATCTCTAGCCCCAGGGATACTATAATCCCACCCCCGATCAGAGGCAGGTTGTATGCTTCTCCTACTTCTTTGTATACGGACCTTCTAACGTATGTCTCATACCTAGTAGGCATCAAGAAGTGGCTCGCTTGCTCTGGGATGATAGAGCTACTCTGCCACCAAGTCAGAGGACTACCCCCCCCCCCCAAAAAAAGTTTTCTGGCTTTCTCATGTTATTTGCTGCCCTCTTGTGTCCATGGGCAGTCCCTGACTCAGTTCACCCGGGCCCCGGGAGAGTTTGGGAAGAGAATACCCTGTACAGAAAGGTTTCTTGGTGAAAACAGGGGGAAAAGGTGAAGCTAAGAAGAGTCTCATTTATGGCAAGGCCAGTGAAATTGTCCCATAAGGAAAGAGAGGTGTTTGATACAGCCTTTCAGATCCAGTAGCTCAGCTGTAGCAGGAAACACATTATCATTTAGAACATATTGAGGGACATAGACTCAAGCTCCGTAAAATGGATGGTTTCATTATTCCAGCTGGTGGTGGATGTGGTCTAATTAGCTAAGACCTACACCCTGAGGTCACAAAAAGGCTGAGCTGGGAGGAGGATGCAGGTGCTTGTCGTTCTTACCTTCCCCCAACCAGAGTGGACCGCTTGCGGACTCTGTTCCAATCCACTCTGCTTACTTGCCCACAGGGACAGAAGACCATTCTCCTTTGTTATTATGACACAGTCACACATTACTCCACCTACATGGCACTTTGGCCCTTGCCACATGGTGTGGCACTTTATATTAAGCTCACTACTCCCTCACCTGAGTTACAATCCTGTTTCTAATCCACCTGCCAAGTCCATGGGGCAGAGCTTATGTCTTATACATTTGCTGTAAACCCAGTAGTATAATACTGTGTTCAACAATTACATGTAAATTTATTCATTCATTCAGAGGAAATCAGAACTCCCTGTAGAAACTTACAGCAAATTCTACTCACTCTACTTTCATCTTAAATTCTATAGCCCCAAACTTCTAATCTGCTCATGAATTTGAAAGCTGTGGTTAGGGGTTTCATCATAAGCATACTTCCATAGAAGAAAAAAATGTGTGCAAGTGAAAATTAATATCAATAGATAAAATTCTGTTTCATGCAATGAGTTTATATCCACGGGAGTCATTAAGGCTGAGAAGAGAATGAGGAATAGGTAAACAAGGCTTCCAGGATCTCATGTCTTCGCTTCCCATTTCCAAGTAAAAACAACCACCAAGGAAAAAAAACCTGTGCTCTCTTATGCATATATTTTCCTCCTAAAAAGGGGAAGAATAATTTGAGATAGTAAGAAAAGCTGCAAAAATGTCCTTCTATAGAAGGGAGCAGATGTAACCAGATTCCAGTGATGGTAAACATGATTGGAAAACACAATGAGACGTTCAGATATGTGAGATTTCTTATTGCTCTCATTCCTCTTCTTACCCAGCTCTGAAGCTTACTAAAATTATTGAGAAAGCCTAAGCCACTTCTGAGTTTGGGATCTGAAAAGAGTGTCTGTGTGTGTGTGTGTGTGCGTGCGCACGCGTGCATGAGCATGTGCATGCGGATGGGAGTCCGAAACCCTATTACTAAGAATGAGAATGCCCCTTTCCCATCTCCACAGGAGGATTTAATGAGACATATGTATTGAAATGAAGACCAGATGCTTATCAAAGTGCCTGACCTATAGAGAGCACCCAGTAAATGGTAGTTCCTCCATCTGCCCACTGGTCTCTCTCCTTCTGTTTTAAAGCAGGTGTATAATCTAACAGATCACGGTGCCAGAATTTTAGACATTTTAAAATTGTGTCAAGGGCCTGATTGCTATTGTTTCTGCTCACGAAGCTTCTCCTTGGCAAGGGATGGAAAGGCTGTCTTCAAGACAGAATGAACTCTGAGGTCAGGAATGACTGAATTAGGTGTGTCTTCACTGATTTTCTATTTTAAAAATACCTAGATTGAAAAAGTAAAATTTCCAAAGTGCTGTAAGGCAGTTATAAAAGAATGGAAGCCCCAGTGTCTGACTTGAATGCGAAAGGGAATTAATCAACTGCTCGTTGAACTCAAGTACTCACCTGGCATCTGAGCAAATGGAGACTGGGGGTTGCTGACACCGCTCTGGAAGGCAAAGATAGTGCAATGTTTTCTTTAGTTGCAACTTTGAATTAAAAAAAAAAAGATTAGGGATACATTTTACAAGCTTTATTTTCTGATACTAAGAAACATTATTTGGGGGTTAAACTAGGAGGGCAACCAAGATTAAGAATTCAAATATCAGGGGCTGCCTGATACTCAGTCGGTTGAGCATCCAACTTTTGATTTCCGCTCAGGTCATGATCTCAGGCACTCAGCAGGGGCGGGTGGGGGGGCGGCCTGCTGGAGATTCTCCCTCTCTGTCTGCCCCTCCCCCTGCTCGCATACTTGATCTCTCTCTCTTTCAAATAAAGAAATCTTTAAAAAAAAAATCAAGTATCAGAAACCAAGTTTTATGAGAGATGAGAGAAACCAAAGTTAGATTCTGGTAAACATGCCAAAAAGCACAGGCTAGGTGAAATGGAATAATCTGTCTTTTGTTTTTTGTTGCTTGCCGTAATATCAAATATAGATCCAAGTGATTTATATACATACAGGACCTTTGAAGATATTACTGGTTACATTAAGATGAGGTCATACTGAATTGGGGTGGACTCTAAATCCAACATGACTGGTGCCCTTCTAAGAAGAGGAGAGAGACACACAGAGACACAGACACAGAGGGGAGAAGGCTATGTGAAGACAGAGGCAGAAGTTTGAGTGATAGGACCTCAGGTTAAGAACCAGCAACCACCGGCAGCTGGAAGAGGCAGGGAGGTATGCTCCCCTAGAGCCTTCGGAGGGAGCCGGCCCTGCTGACACCTTGATTTTGGACCTCTAGTCTCCAGACCGTGAGACAATGCATTTCCGTCACTTTAAGCGCCCCGCCCCCCATTTGTGGCACTTTGTTACTGTAGCCCTAGGAAACTAATATATTACTGACGATGAAGCAGACGATGCAGTGTAGTATGAGAAGTGACGTGGTTGGGGAAAGACCGAGTGAGGGGGGCACCTAAGCTGGTATTAGGGATGGGGTGGGGAACGCATCCTTGTTGCCGAAGCTGACCTCTGGAGGAAGGGTATCCAGGTGTGCTGAGTCCTAAAATGTACAATTGCAAATTCTGGCTCCACGCTGCCCAGGAACAACGTTATTTAGGAAAAAATAGCTGTTGCAAAAGTTAAGAGTCCCGAACATCTAGCTCTTTGGATCTGAGCTCCTGTCCCTCGCAGCGCTATAGATTCTCAAAAGTTGGACGAGATCTTATAGAGAGCCTCACGCAACCACCCACTCGGTGCCAAAATCCTGCCCACGTTATTAACACTGGGTGCAGTTAGCCTCAGCGCTGCAGAACCCAATGCCCTCTCAGAAAGCCCATTTCTTCTCTGGGCACTTCTGACTGTCACAAAGCAGGCAGAAAAGAATCACTTTCTTCTTTCTCATCTTTTTGGTCCATACACAATAGGGTTTAATCCTTTTTCCATATATGGCCCTTCAAATATTTCAAGAGAACCCATTATTTCCCCAGCTGTCTTCATCAGTTTGGGCTGCTATGCCAGATACCATAGACAGGGTGGTTTAAACAAGAAACATTTCTCCCGGTGCTGGAGGCGGAAGGGTGCCCGCGACGTTGGGGTCTTGGGGACCCTCTGCCTGCTTTGCTGGCTTCTCTCTTTGTCTTCATGTAGCAGAAAGAGAGATCATCTCTCTCATGTGTCTCTTCTTCGAGGGCACTAATCTCATTCACAAAGGCTCTACCCTCACAACCTAATTAGCTCCCAAACACCAAATACCAAATACCATCCTGTTGGGGCTTAGGGCTTTAACGTATGAGTTCTGAGGGGACACAAACATGCAGTTCATAGCACCAAACTGGCACTTAATCTTCTCCAGGCAAAATGTCCTCCAACCATGGGGCACCTGGGTGGCGCAGTCGGTTAAGCGTCCAACTCTTGATCTCAGCTCAGGTATTGATTTCAAGGTTGTGAGTTTAAGCTCCACACTGGGCTCCATGCTGGATGTGGAACCTACTTTAAAAAAAAAATCAGGGGCGCCTGGGTGGCTCAGTTGGTTAAGCAACTGCCTTCGGCTCAGGTCATGATTCTGGAGTCCCGGGATCGAGTCCCACATCGGGCTCCCTGCTCAGTGGGGGGTCTGCTTCTCCCTCTGACCCTTCCTCTCTCATGCTCTCTGTCTCCCATTCTCTCTCTCAGATAAATAAATAAAATCTTTAAAAAAAAAAGTATTAAAAAAAAATCGGGGTGCCTGGGAGGCTCAGTGGGTTAAGCGTCTGCCTTCAGCTCAGGTCATGATCCCAGGGTCCTGGGATCGAGCCCCACATCGGGCTCCCTGCTCAGTGGGGAGTCTGCCTCTCCCTATCCTGCTCCCCCTGCTGGTGTTCCCTCTCTCGCTGTCTCTCTCTCTCTCTCAAATAAATAAATAAAATCTTAAAAAAAAAAAAAAAATCCTCCAACCACTCAGAAGGAGCACAGATTCTTTGAGTGAAGACTCTGGAACTAGAGTGTATGTGTTTGAATCCCAGCTCTGCCTCTTGGGCACATGAGATTAAATGATCTCCTATATGCCAAGCGCTTTGAATAGTTCCTGCCATAGAGCAAGTAGGAAATAAGTGTTAGCTCTAATCACTCAGATGCATCTTTATGCCCCTTCAAATCTATGGCATATTCCTCTAACCCTGCTCTGATTTATGTGTCTTGTTGTTTAAGAAGTTAACACTTTTAAGTGGCAGAAGGGAAGGCTGGGCAGGCAGGCTCAGAAGTGGGTGTAGATCAGGGTGCCCTACATCTTATATGGGAAGGAAAGGAGGCGATGATTAAATACAAAGCACTTGGGTTGGGTCACATTTCCTCATGTTGCCAGGGCCCATCTTCCCCAGCTCTGTCTGGCTGGGTGCCTACACCCTCTGGCTTGCTTCTGCCTGGGCGACCTTCCGTGTGTACGCACGGTGTGTGAATGCTGCCGGGGCCGGGGGGCGGGGGGGACGTCCTGTCGTTCTTCTCCCCCCTGCTCTCCCTGCTATGGCGGAGGCTATATACATACAGGACCTTTACAGCTGGAGGCTTCCGTGAGATGCTGGCACACGCCCCACCCCGTGGACAGAAGTATCAGCACCCTAGGCTCCCCTCGGCGCCCGCCAGCCGCACCTCTGTCGGCTGGAATGGCTCTGCTTCTGCTCTTCCCCCAGGCCGGGAGCAAGCTCAGTCCACGCTGACCTGGTCCCTACAGCTTCCGGCATCTCTGCCGTGAAGGCCCTCGTCTCGTTCTCCTCTACCACCAGCGGTCCCTGGATGGAATCTTCTTCTTAATCCTGCTTCTTCTGCCCAGGCTTCCTTGTCACTGCCGGACAGTCAGCGCTACACCTGCCCCCACCCAGCTCTACCGCCCGAAGACCCCACAGTGGTTTCACGATTGCAAGTCTAGTTGATTTTATCCACTGTTTGATGAAAAGAAGCCTCTCGTGTTCATTTCTCCTACACAGTGTTGCCTTCTACCTGCCGTGGAAATTGCAACTCTGGTTTCATTGTTTATGGTTTCCCATAACATTTTACCTTGCATATTTAACAAAGACTACAAACAATATCTGAAAACTCCCGCTGACAAAATCCTTAGAACTCTCACTACACCTCTCCTAATCTACATGAGTATGCTATTCTCTTGTATTTTAGCTTGTTCCTTTCTATTACATCTTCCCAAATTAGACATCATAATTGTCATCATCTTATTAAGTAAATCTGTATTAGATTTACTTATATGTTCACCATTTTCTTTGCTTACTCTGCTTCGAGACTTTTTTTTTTTAGATTCATTTTCCATCTTCTTAAAGTAATCCTTCAGGAAATTCCTTTCCTGTAGGTGATGTTGGCGGTAAAAATGTTTGTTTTCATTTATCTGAAAATATCATGTCTTTTTCTCTTGTACTTGAAAGATAATATTTTTAGGTTCACAATTGTAACCTTATAGTTATTCCTCTCTCAGCACTTCAAAGATACCACCTCACTGTCTTTCGGCTTCCCTGATTGCTGTTGACCTTGCAGTTATACTTTGGACAATTTTTCTTTCCTTTCTGACCGCTTTTTAAAAAATTTATTATGGAAGTATAGTTGACACACAATGTTATCATTAGTTTCAGATGTACAACATGGTGATTTGTCAATTCTATACATTACTCAGTGCTCAATCGTGGTAAGTGTAGTCACCATACAACGTTACTACAATATTATTGACTATGTTTCCTGCACTGTACTTTTTCATCCCTATGACATTTATTTTGTAACTGGAAGTTTGTACCTCTTAATCCCCTTCACCCATTTTACCCATCCTCCCCATGGCAACCACCAGTTTGTTCTCTGTATTTAAGAGTCTATTTGTTACTCACTTAGCATTATACCCTCTAGCTCCCTCCATGTTGTTGCAAATGGCAAGATTTTATTCTCTTTTATGGCTGAGTAATAGTCCACTGTGTGTGTATATGCATATATATATACACACTGCATCTTCTTTATCCATTCCTCTATTGAAGGACACTTGGGCTGCTTTCATGAGTTGGCTATTGCAAATAATGCTGCCGTAAACAGAGGAGTGCATATATGTCTTTGACCTAGTGTTTTTGTATTCTTTGGGTAAATACCCAGTCATGGAATTACTGGATCATAGCGTAGGTCTATTTTTAATTCTTTGAGGAACCTCCATACTGTCTTCCACAGTGGCTGCACCAGCTTGCCTTCTTCCCACCAATGGTGCATGAGGGTTCCTTTCTCTCCACATCCTTGCCACTTGTTGTTTCTTGTGTTTTTCATTGTAGCCATTCTGACAGGTGTGAGGTGGTGTCTCATTGTGGTTTTGATTTACATTTCTCTGATGATGAATGATGTTGAGCATCTTTTCATGTCTATTGGGCATCAGTATATCTTCTTTGGAAAAAAATATCTATTCAGTTTTTCTGCCCATTTTTTAAATCTCTGCTTTTTATTTTTTAAAAAGATTTTATTTATTTATTTGACAGAGAGAGAGCACAAGCAAGGGAAGC